AAATACATATCTTAACACTCAAATAAAAAGTGATGAGTTTGCTTCTTGATTAAGCAGGGACTTTCATTCATACTAAAATCACTGGAGGCATGTGTGGGAGTACACTGACGGGGAAAAGTGAGGTGTGAAACATCACATACCGTATATACTTCTGATTAAGTTCCAAGACAACCAAAACAAACATTGTTTAGAGATGCAAATATTTCTGAAAGTATTGAGAAAAGCATGACAGTGATAGATGTATGATCCAGGATAGCAGTTACACTGGATAGGCAGGATAGGGGTAAGAATATACTGACAATTTGATGTATTTAAACTGAATGTTGAGTTCCTAAGTGTTCATTTTATCATTATGCTTAATAACGAAAAAGAAGCTTAAGGTAGAACATGTTTAAGAGAAATGATTATACAGAGGGACGGAGAAGGGAAGAATTTAAGAATAATTTCTCAATTTTTGACTTAGGTATCTAGGAAGATAGTGATGTCATTTATGATGATAGAAAGTCTGAAACAGAAACACTGCTTTGGAGAAAAAATTAAAGTTTTTGTTTAGGTTACATGAGGTTTGGGGTATCTACTGCAATGTAAGAGGAGATATAGAATAAGTGACTGGAATACAAATCTGAGTTCTGGGGAGCAGAACTGAATCTCAGAACTGAAACTATGTGGTAAATCTTTAGTTTGACCTAACTATCTCTCTATCTATCAATTACTTATCAATCTGGTTTTAGAGACATGGTATTAAATGAGGTCAACTGGGAAAATACGAAGGCCCCATATAGATAGCCCTAAGGATTGAGATTGGGGACAGAAAGATGATCAGCAAAAGAGACCAAAAAGAATTGGCCAAAAAGGTAGAATAAAACCTAGCAACATGAGATTTCACAGAATTCAAGAGAATCAAGTGCTCCAAGAGGAAACAGTCCCCTTCCTCTGCTGCAATGACCTTGGAGGCCATCTGTTCTGTAGGGAGGAAGGTCAAAAGATTTCCTTTGACTTTGCCTTTCTTATTGTTGTCATCTGCTCTAGGAATCTTTTTCTAATATCCGAAGCCAGACTATAAGTCCTTGAATTGGAGGATCTGGTTCCCATTGTATCCTGGCACCTGGCATGTCTTCTGATAAACATACATTCCTCACAGACCAACGAGAAGCATAGTTATTTTTACTTGTTTCTGTTTGGACAGCTTCATGGAAAGCATTTTTCCTTACTGGGGTGATCACCATCTTATCAAATATTGAGCTTAGGTATTTACTTTTCTCAGGGTAGGTGCTGGGCTTAGAGGAGTTCAAAAGAAGAAAAGCGGGTAGAGGCTACCACTGGTTCTCAAACAGCATTTGTCCTATAGTGAAAATGTTTGCACGTAGAAGGGTAATGGACCAGCTATTCTCATTGCCTCAATTCTCAGGCAAAAAGACACCAAGTATATTATTTTCAAGTTTAGCTAGTTTAGAAGTCAGCAAACTATGGCTCCCTGTTTTTATATAGCCTCTGAACTAATCATGGTTTTTACACTTTAAAATGCTGAAAACACATCAAAAGAGGAATCATTTCCGTTACCTGTGAACAGTATATAAAATTCAAATTCCAGTGTTTATAAATGTAGATTTATTGGAATAACTTCTAGAAGTTAATTGCTCCCATCTAACCTATCTTAACAATATTTAAAAATTACAAATGAATAAATGAATTGCCCTGCTTTGCAATGTGAGGAGGGGTGGCTACAGCTGGCAACCCTGCACTTTCTCTCTCTCTGGGGTTCTCTCAATCATCATGCCATCACCCACCATGATGGGAGAGGACTCCTTTTCCACAGCTAGAGCAAGTAGATATGTGTAACATTTCCTATACTCTCCGTGGTAGAGTTTAGCAAGACCAAAACAGGTAAAGAAATCTTTAAAAAATGATGAATGAACAGAGAAAAACCTAATGAAGAAATCAGCTCTAAAAAAAATAGTGCATTTCTCTTTATTCTGGAGTCTCCTGGTGATCTAAGCAGTGAGAGATCACTTACTCCCAATACCTGGGCATATTCTCAGGCATGTCTGGACACCATGAAGCCCAAACACAAGTATGTTTTTCCCCCTAGAAGTAAAATATGGCTGCTTGCTACAGTATCAGGCCTGCCTTTGATGGATGCCAATTGAGGGTCCGTCGCCACAAACGTAGGAAAGTGGTATCTTTCCTCCAAACATTTACCGAGGTGTCATTTAAAAAGCGTTTTCATGGAGGATCATGACAGAACTGAATTTAATGACACAGGAAAAGGCCACATGGAATAAAAACATCCCCATTCTCTGCTGATTTGAAATATTACCGCCCAGTCCACCAGGAGATAATTATGTTGCTCTCAGTTTTGAGTAGCAGAAGCTGCAAAGAAAAAACTATCATAAGATCATTCACAGTTTGAGAGAGTAACTATAAAAAGCTTACTACGAGTAATTTTTTAAAATGCCAAGTTACATGTGAGTACTCATTTAAGGGTTAAAGGAAGAAGTGTTAAAAAAAATTCACACCTTTTAGGTTTACATCAGTTGATTTTTCATAAAGAAACTGATGACAGAAACAGTGGTGAGAGGTGAAAACCAGGCAGCTTAGAGTAAGAGAAAAGAGATCCTACACCAACCCACAGAAAGATCAAACACACACACAAAGGAAGACTCAGACATTAAAAGGCAGCCAACAGAGCTTCGTAAACATGGTAATATCTCAGAAAAAGAGTTCCTCTCTTTATGAATGCCTGCAATGCTCTGAACAAGCCAGCTTCCTTGGTTCAATTCATAACCATTTGTAAGTTCATAACCATAATGAGTTGCTGTTTTCATTGTTATGATGGTGGTTTACTTTATAGGATGTGAGAAAGTTACTGTCCTAACATGAAGGGCTTTTAATTCAATAGACAAACACTTAAAGGAAAAACCTTTCAGACAACTCTAAATAGGTTATTATCAGCTGTGAGTAAGAATGACAAGAATTTACTAGCCTAGAGTTTCCCAAGTTTATACTTTAACCTAAGTGATATAACTTACAAAATTCTCAACCTATTTACTAATACCTTGGACATGCACATAAAATATGTCCCATTTTCAAGAATTTTATCTGTACTATGTATGAAAAAAATCTAATCCATGAGGCTTTAAAAAATATTACTTTGACTATGTATAACCAAATGTTAGTAAGAGTAATCATTGTATTATAAAAATAACAAACATTTAAAATGAAGCAAGTGGCTTAACATTTATTTAAGAGATTTTATTATGAAATGAGAGGGAATAAATTCTAATTTATTGGAGGAAGTCATTTCAAAATATTATTTTTTTAAATAGAGGAGTGAAATTAATATAAAGGAAGAACATACAACTATTCTACAATCTCAATACTACATATTATATTTTATTAACAGGGTTTTTAGGTCTTTGAATATCATTACAATACCACTGATTAGTGTAGTCAGTTACCAAAAATCATTAGTAGCTCATGGAAAATGAACAGAACTTAATCACAAGGCTAGTTTACATGTATGCTTACCCCCAAGTTTTACAAATAAGCATTTGGAAATTTCTCACATCAATACTTCAAAATCGGGGCCTCCTTGGTGGCATAAGACGTTAAGTCTCAGAACTATGAAGCTATCAGCAGCCACTGCAGCACAAGTTCAATTCCCAATCCCTGGCCAGGGAGCTAACCCACATGGCATAGCAGACCTCTCCTGTCTTGCCCACTGCTCCCCTCAGTGGTGTATTTCAGTCAATCTGCCTGTTCTGCTCCCCACTCTGTCTCTGGTGAATCCTCTCATCCTGCACCTCTGGCCTGCACCCCAGCTCTTGTATGCATAAATAAATAAAACAAATCTTAAAAAAAAACTTCAAAATCTCCAGATAATAAAGCATTGAATTATATGCCAATAACTTTGTGCGCCAAATTTACACCAATTCTGAAAAGCTCTATACTATATCACTAGTTGAGTGCTTTTGAAAACTAGTATATAGATGACTATTTCTTGTATCTCCAAAGATTTGCTGTATTGGTATAAAGTTCATATAAGCATTTTTTAAAAGATTTATTTATTTATGCATACAAGAGCTGGGGTACAGGCCAGAGGTGTGGGGAGGGGGTGAGAGGATTCACCAGAGACAGAGTGGGGAACAAAACAGGCAGATTGACCAAAGTACACTGCTGAGGGGAGCAGTGGGGCGAGTCAGGAGAGGTCTGCTGTGCCATGTGGGTTGCTCCCTGGCTGGCCGGGAATTGAACTTGTGCTGCAGTGGCTGCCGATAGCTTCATAGGTTGCATCTTAACCCTTATGCCACCAGAGAGGCCCCATATAAGTATTTTTGCTTCAATAAAATATTTGATTACATAGAAAAAAATTATCTTCCCAATAATTACCCTTCAAAAGTGCATTAGAATGAAAAATATATTTGCTATCCTTTTCATAGCCATGAGCAATCTGGTGGTACTCATCTGAGCAGTGAAAATCAGAGGCTTGAAAGAGAGCAGTACTGCAGTATTTGGAGGAGAGAGGATTTCTGGATATTAAGTTTTATTTTTAAATGTTATGTCCCCAGATGTCTACTTTTTATCAAGCTTGTAGGCTCAGGGGGTAATAATAATTTTGGGACAATCTCAAAGGTAAAATATATCAAGGTTTGACTATAAAGGAATGAAATTTATTACTGATTAGCTTTGTGGAATAAAAGAGTTACAGCGATAGTATCAATATAGACATAGGAGTAATAACCAAACATTACTGAGACATAAATTTATAGCCAAATTGCAAACACGCAGAAAATGGGTATAAGATATACCTAATTTTAAACATTTTCTAGCAATATAAACATATATCCCTGGGCAGTCACAGTATTTGGATTAGAATCAAAATGAACTTGATAATTATGGCATTAATACTTGTTGATTCAGTACCAATACTTTAAAAATTCTATTCCATTACATCATCTTCTCTTTTCTTTCTACCCTCCCCCATCTTTATTGATACATACCTTCTTCTGGTGTTTGTGTTCTCAAGGATTCACTCCAGTTACTCCAACTACCTTTGTAAAGATGTATTTTAGAGGAAATCTGAAATTCATACATTGCAAATGGCATCAGGTCCAGCAAGTCATGTCTTCCTTTGACATTTGTAGCATTAACCTTGAATCAGGTAAGATTTTGAAAGGTGCCTATTAGTACTAAATTATTTGAGAGAATTTTTAACATAAAGGTAAGAAATTCAACCAGAGACCACATAACCTTTTTTTTCAGATCTGTTGTTCAATTAGGAGAAATATCAGTGACTGGGTTACACAATATAAATGATGTTAATATAAAATAATAGCTTCTCTAAAGGACAAAGCCCAAAAAACTCATGGGACTAAGAAAGTTTCATCTATGTGGGTACCCAGAGGGGTCCTGAAAGCAGCTGAAAAAAAGAGTAAAGAAAGTAAAAAAGCTACTAATGGAGAAAAACAAAAACCATATGCTATCATTCATATGTAGTTTATATGGAAACAAATCAAATGGACAAATAAACTCTTAAGTACAGAAAACTGGTGATTAACAGAGGGAAAAGGGGCAGGGTAGTGGGTGAATTGTATAAAGGGGAACAAATGAATGGTGATGGGTGGAAACTAGAGTTTTTGGCACTGATCATAAAGCAGTATTTACAGATGTAGAATTACAGTGCTGTACAGTGGGAACAGTTTATAAACCAATATTATCTCAACAAGAATGTATATGGAAAACCACCAATTTTCAAAAAGGTTTAGAGAAGTTTCTAAATTAGATATCATTTTTTATTTGGTCACAGTTAGAATGGGATTATTGTTTTAACACAGACACAGAACTGACTTCAAAAAGAAAAATTTAATGATATAAGAAAATTTAAGAACCTACCTCAATAGAATAAAGCCATCTATTATAAACCAACAGCCAATGTAATATTTAACAGGTGAAAAATTGTTTTCCCTTCAAGATCAGAAATAAGACAAAGATGCCCACGGTCAGCACTTCAGTTTAACTTTGTATTAGAGGTTTTGGACAGAGCTATCAAAAACTAGGAAATAATGGGAATCCAAACTGGAAAATAAGAACTAAAGCAATCACTGTTCACAGACAATATATTGTATGGAGAAAACCCTAAAGAGACCACCAAAAAGCTATTAGAAACAATAGATGAATATAGCAAATTGTCAGGTAACAAAATCAACACACAAAAATCCAAAGCAGTTTTATATACAATAAACAAGAAGAAAAAGAAATCAAGAAAATAACTCCAATTACAATTGCTTCAAAAAGAATCAAATACTTAGGGATTAACTTAACTATGGAGGTGAAGGACCTATACAACAAGAACTATAAGATGTTTTTAAAAGACTCAGTGGCATAAGGAGATGGAAGGACATAATATGCTAACAGATGGGAAGAATCAATACAATCAAAATGACTATCCTGCCCAAAGAGTTATGTAAATTTACTGAAATACCCATCAAAATACTAACAATATTTTTCAAAGAAATAGTATAAAACAATATTGAAATTTACATGTAACAACAAAAGATAGCAAAAGCAATCCTGAGGAAAAAAGAGAAATGGAGGCATCACATTACCTGACATCAAACTTAACTATAAAGCAACACAATTAAAAACAATATGGTAAAAATAAAATAAAATTTTAAAAAATCACACTTGTAAGTTTGAACTAGAACTCTAATGTCTATGTTGTCACTGATGATCAAAATGTAAATATTTTACCCAATAAATAAATAAAAACACTATGGCATTTGCACAAAAATAGATACAAGAGTCAGTGGAACAGAATAGAAAGCTCTGAAATAACTCCACATACATACCAATACCTCATCTATGATAAAGCAGCCACAGTCATAAATGGGGAAAGGAGAGCCTCTTTAATAAATGGATCTGGGACCTCCCTGGTGGCACAAGGGGTTAAGATGCAACCTATGAAGCTGTCTGCAGCCACTGCAGCACGAGAGTCATCCCCCAGCTGGCCAGGGAGCAACCCACACGGCGCAGCAGACCTCTCCTGACTCGCCTGCTGCTCCTCTCAGCAGTGTGCTTTGGTCAATCTGCCTGTTCTGTTCTCCACTCTGTTTCTGGTGAATCCTCTCACCCCCCACACCTCTGGCCTGTGCCCCAGCTCTTGTATGCATAAAATAAAATAAATATTTTTTAAAAAATAAATAAATAGATCTGGTAAAACTGGAGGGCCACACATAAAAGAATGCAGTTGGGTCATTCTCTAACTCCATACACAAAGATAAAACCCAAATGGATTAAAGATTTAGATATAAGGCCTGCAACAAACAAAATATATAGGAGAAAACATTGCAATCTGTTTCATGATGCTAAAAGATGTTAAAGATGTTTTTGGAAAATCAATCTCTATGGCAAGGGAATTAAAAGCGAAAAAAAGCAATTGGCATTACCTCAAGTTAAAAAGCTTTTACATAGTGAAAAAAAAAGTAAGAAGATTAAAAAGACAGCATATTGAATGGGAGAATATATTCACACAATATATAACAAACAAGGGGTCAATATTGAAGATACATAGTTAAAAAGTATAAAAGTCAACAGAAAAACAAACAACCCAAGCAGCAAATGGGTTGTAGTAGCAGCAAATATGAGCAATTACCCAAAAGGATATCCAGAAGGCCATTAGATATATGAAAAAATGTTCATCACCACATCCAATAAGAGATGCCGGTTAACAAGCAACTATAAACCAGAGATACACTATGGGGGGAAGGAGGGAGTAGGATCAAAACGAGTAGGGGTGGGAATTGTACGGGGACTATAACCAAGATGAAAATGCATACATTGTGCAAAAATGAAAAGTGATGTAAAAAATACATAAAATAAAAAACAAAAACAAACAAAAAAAAGAGATGCAGGTCTAAAACCACAATGAAACACCACCTCATACCTGTGTGAATAACACATTAAAAAGACCCTCAACAACAAGTATTGAAGGAGATGTGGAGAATGAAGAACACTATTATGCAGTTAGTGGGAATGTAAACTTGATGCAATCATTATGGAAAGCAGTCTGGATTCGTCTTAAAAAACTAAAAATGGAAATAATGTATGATTCACAAATCCCATTCTTGGGCTTCTATCAAAAGAACATGAAAGCATCCATGCAAAAAATTTTATGCTCTACAACGTTTACTGGAGCACTATTTATAATAGTTAGGATGCAGAAGCAGCCTAAATGCCCCTCAATAGGTGAGTGAATCAAGAAGATGTGGCATACCCACATTATGGAATACTGCTCAGCTAAAAGGAAAGATTAAAATACAGCTGTTTACAGAAAAATGGAGGGAGTCTCTGGGAATTATGTCTAGAAAAGCAAGTGAGAATGACAAAAAAATCAACACCCCCTGAACATTTATATAATAGATGATTTGACTAAGTAAAATATTAAAAAACTAGTAGATATTAATAAGGTCAGTAAGGGATATGAAGCTAAGAGGAGGGGAGGGAGAAATGGACAGGAAATATAAGGGTTGGGGAGGGGAAAGAAATGAAAAATAAATTAATTCATACCCACTTTTTTTAAAAAAGAAAATGAAGCATTGGCAAGGACATAGAGAAATTGAAACACTCATACATTGTTAGCAGGAATGTAAAATGATGCAGCCACTGTGGAAAAGGAATTTGGTAATTCTGCAAAAAAGTTAAACATAAAAAAAGAAAATTATACCAGAAATATTTAATTATTATACCCTTTGATTATTAGCTATATGTGAAACTGATTCTTTGTTATTATTATAAGGCATTATATTTTTAAACATTTTTTTAAAGATTTACTTATTTATGCATACAAGAGCTGGGGTACACCAGAGTCAGAACAGACAGACTGACCGAAGCACACTGCTGAGGGGAGCAGTGGGCGAGTCAGGAGAGGTCTCCTGTGCCATGTGGGCAGCTCCTTGGCCAGGAATGGAACTCATGCTGCAGTGGCTGCGGACAGCTTTATAGGTTGTATCTTAACCACTTGCAACACCAGGGAGGCTCGTAAGGCATTATATTTTTACAAAGCTACCAGAAGAAATTATAATCCTAGACTTTTTCTTGTAAAAAAAATTAATGCCTAATATTATATCAAGGTGTGGAGCTTTAGCTTTGCAATATTCAATTTAATATAAGCTTCTATGGATATTCTCTAATTCTTCTCTTTCCAATATATTTAAAAATTAATAAAATGTAATAATGGGGCAGAGGGTTGAATAACAAGAAGAGATGAGGAATAAATTGAATAAATTGAAAAATATCATGTTGGTTTACTGAAGCCTGTGGCTTAAACAATTTCAGAATCAGTGATCAAAATTCAAGCTATTTCTTAATTAATAGAAGTGGATATATATTTCTGGTATACCTCTAATGCATACTATTTGACTAAATATTTTAAAGTCTGTATTTTACTGGTGTGAAAAGACAGATTCTGTGCAGTAAGACTTAGAACCTCTATTATATCCACCCTTCACTCTAAAGACCATTACCATATTCCAGAATGTGCTGTTAACGGGCCGATATCTGAGTCGATTAAATTGCACCAGTTCTTCATCTTTCCATTGAAGGATGCATCTTCTCACAGAATCATTTACAAATCTGATTCTGATGTCCCACGGAGGAAGAGGCCTCACTAGTCACAAGGACAAACAAAGGCTTCACAATGGTCATATGTATTGCTATGAATTATAAAGAACTGAACAAAACTGTTCCTTCATTTCTAAGATGCAGCAACACTAAATATGGTAAAAAACAAAAGAGAATTTGCTAACTTTTAGAAAGAAAAAAAGTTTGGTTTACTTCTAAATTATTAAAATAATTCCCTATAATCTACCTTTATTCTTTACCAAATAAATTACCACGAAGGTTTGTGTTAGTGTTGTTCCCTCTTAACTCAATGCTCTAAAGAAAACTGAGTGCCGATTTTGAGAGGTCAAGGGCTGAGAAGAGAGAGATTGCCAGTATTGACTACCTCAGGATGAGGATGCAAAGAAGTGTTGGTAGGAAAAACATCATAAGAAAGGCAAAAAAGAAAGAATAAGAGGAAAAAGAAGGTGGCAGAGAGATGAACAGTCAATGGAAAGAGGTGGAAAATAGAATGGGGAGAGTGTGATGGAAGATGTATAGTGAATGTTCCCAGACTCATAGTTAGCAATATGTATGCAAAGAGGTACTGTGGAAAGAGAGAAGAGAGACACCTAATGTAAGGACAGAGCTTCAGGCAAGTGAGAAGCCTCGTCCTGCCTGAAATAGCCAAACTGTTGGAGATACCTGAGACGGGCCTCTGATTTAACTGGACCAATTATATCTGCTCAGAAATGTACTGGGACTGACTCACTGCAGTTCCTAAGCTAACGAAGGGATCGAGATAAATATTCTCAGAGCAACATGCATTTGTATCTTGATATGCTTTATAGTTTGTACCTGGCTGTTCTAGCCCAGCAGGTCCACAGGTATCCATGAAGGTAAAAAGACACTTCTGCCAAGGGCCTACAGTGAGTTTCTTGAATAACCTCATAGGATCCTCTCCTCAGCCAGAGGCAGTCACTGGAGACTGGTGCCTTCATGGAATGTGAAGTCAGAAGCTCAAATTTCTCCAACAGAGAAATATATAGCCATCTCCATGCATTTTTACTTGTATTGAAGTAACACCTACCCTCTGTTCAGGTGTCTTGGCCACTTTCTATCAACCTCTGTCCCCTTTGAAACAATCATACAGAGGATATTTGAGAGATGTGCCAAGAGTAACACCTAAAAAAAGTAAGATAAGACGTACCTATGTCTAAGAAGGTGAACACAGATGGAAATGAAGATGCACTTCCAAGTTTATTGACAGCCATAACTTTGGCTGTATAATTGGATTCAGATGATTCAGGGATTAGGTTGATTCCAAGGTTCAAACGGTCACAATAATTACCATTACATTGCTTTTGCCAAGTGAGATTTTTTGGTCCATTTAACCTGTAAACAATAGATAATTGTGTTTAGCAAGATACTTTATATGCTTTCTCCTTTCAGCACAAAAGAGTAAAATGTTCAAATATTTAAAATTCTAGAAAACTTTTAAGGTTAGTCTTATTACTAGGGGATAAACTATGGAAAAATTTGTATTCTAAGTAATAAATAGGGGCCAACAGTTTAAGCTTACTAGGGTAGGGAAGAATATTCAAAACTTGGACCTAGAATTCAGACCCATGATATCAGTTCTCACACTACAGATGAATGAATCAGTTTTAATTGATTTAACACTATCGTTTTTTAATGTACCTAATTATATGGAACTATTACCTTTTCTCTCTAATAAGAGCAGACCTACAAAACAGCTACAAAAACATAATTTCTTACTCACTGTAAAGTATACGTAGTAAACAGATGTGTGTTGCGTCCTCTTTCCCAGGTGCAGGTCACTGTCCCATGTTCTCCATTCTGTATACAAGACAAGTTCTGAGGTTGTTCAGGAACAACTTTAAAAAGAAAGAGCAAACCCTCATAGTTTGAATTGAATAGAGGTGATATTTCAATTGTCCTGGTAGTATTTGCCAACAAGATAACAATACTGCTGTTGCCCATACCCAGATAGCTGGAAGCTATTTCAGATTTCATTAAGTTTAGATTTCCCTCTGAGGCATGAATTTCTTCCAATAACAATAGTATTAATAGAGAATATGGACCAGACACTGACTATCTACTGAGTCCTACACTAAGTATTTTTGTGCATAGCAACTACATTAAGTACATACACTATTGTTATAGTAAAGAGAAAACGAAGACTTAAAGAATGTTGCCCAAGATTATAAAACTATTTCAGTCCAGGCATAGTCGACCTGAGTCCAAATCAACAACATATTCTACCATCTCTCTGACAGATAAACATGCAGTGTTAGTTCTTACCCCTGGTAATGAGGTCACTTTTTTAGAGTGAAGCCTATTCCTCCAGTGAACTGATATTTACTACCAAGACAGTGGTCTTTGTTGCGTTCTTATGGGCTGTACCATCTAAATCTGATATCTGTAGCATCACTTGGAGCACTTTTTGAACATTTATAAATTAATTTTTTAGGTACATAGACACTGAGTACCCCCCATGGGCTTGGTACAGTGCTAGCCATGGAACTACAACATATATGGTTCCTTCCATCCTATTTTTGTTCTGTTGCAAAATTCTCTCTTAATTCTCTAAGGGTATGAAGAATAGTTTTTATTTTTCAACATGGCTTCCCTTAATACACTCTATTTTTTCTACTTAGCTTATATGCTTTGTTCCATATGCTGGTTTTGGTTTCTGTCCTTCATTTTGGAAATTTCCCTAAGTTTTCCTTGATACAAAGTAGTAAAAGGTATCTTGCAGTTTAATTCAAATATAGGAGTGGGGTATTAAGTGATAGAATAAAGCTGTGTGATTGTCAGTTGAAGGGCACATGACCCAGGGCTAAACTCTGGGTTTAACTCCAGGTGATCTGGCTAGGTTTTCTTGGGAACTTGTGTTGTCACTAACTTTAGATATTTCCTCTTGGCCTAGTCACACTTCCCAGAAAAGGAATTTCTAATCTGTTTGGGGGAGGGAAAAGGCCTGAAGGGAGCTACCTGCAAATGTCCTTTAATCCCTCTGTTTTACAGTATGGTACAGTTAATCTCAACTGAACTGGTTGAAACTAGTTCTGTGACCCTCTGATATTTAGCCTCCAGTTTTGTGCTAGAGTAGTGAAACAGTGACTTCTGAACTGCATGGAATCAGAAAGGGGATCTCTGAATCTATATTTTTTTTTTAAAAAGATTTATTTATTTATGCATACAAGAGTGAGACAGGAGAGGTCTGCTTCGTCATGTGGGTTGCTCCCTGGCCAGCTGGGGATTGAACTCGTGCTGCAGAGGCTGCAGATAGCTTCATAAGTTGCGTCTTAACCCCTTGCGCCACCACGGAGGCCCCTTCTTAGGGCCTTTTGATGACCAAAGGAGATGTAAAGTACATGGTACTTTTTTTTTTTTTAAATATCAATTTCTGAGGAATGTCCATTTTTTTTTTTTAAAGATTTATTTATTTATTTATATAAGCACTGGGTACAGTCAGAAGTGCGGGAGGGTGAGAGAATTCACCAGAGCCAGAAGGGAGAGCAGAGCAGGCAGACCAACGTAATACACTACTGAGGGGAGCAGCAGGCGGCAGGAGAGTCTGCGCACCATGTGGGACCCTCACTGGTGGCCGGGGACCGAATCGGTGCTGCAGAGGCTGCGGACAGCTTCTCAACCCAGTGCTCAACCGCTGTGCCATGGGGGAGGCCCAGTACATGGTACTTTTACATAATGAAAAAGTAATTTCTCACCTTCACCTTCACTCCTAAAAGTTTGCAAAGACTCATTTTAAAGACCACAGCTTTTACTTACAAATCAAGTTAACTTTATCATTGTGAATTCCCTGGACCATGAAGTCAAGGTATCTACTTCAGCCAGGGATTTGGTTTAGGCAGAGACTATCCCAGGAGAAACCAGACCCAATTCTCTTCAATGCAAATGTGTAATAGCTGATGCCAAGAAGGACAGAAATCAAAGCCTACAAAAATTAAAATAGTTCCTAAAAAATTGTTATGAATATTATGTTATTATTGTTTGTTAAAGTAAATCATACTGTTACAAATTTTTTCTTCTTAATCTTTAATTGTGGCAAAAACCACTAAATAACCATTTTTAAATGCATTAACCATTTTAAAATGCATGATCCTGTAATGTTAAATATATCCATAATTCTTGTGCAATCACTACTACTTCTTTCTTAAAAAAATTTTATTGAAGTAACATTGCATGTAACTTTACATAGGTTTCAGGTGTGCATCATTATATGGTTATTATTGTTTTAAAAAGTCTTACTTATTGGGCCTCCCCAGTGGCGCAATGGTTGAGCGCTAGGTTGCGAAGCTGCCCGCAGCCACTGCAGCGCCGGTTCGATCCCCAGTTCGATCCCCAGTTCGATCCCCGATTCGATCCCCGGCTCCTCCCCGGCTCCTCCCTGGCTGCTCCCCAGCCACCGGAGGAGGGTCCCACATGGTGCACAGACCTCTCCTGCCACCCGCTGTTCCCCTCAGCAGTGTACTTCGGTCCTTCCGCCTGCTCTGCTCTCCGCTCCACCTTCGGTGAATTCTCTCACCCTCCTGCGCTTCTGACTGTACCCAGTGCTTGAATGCATGCAAGCATAAATAAATAAATCTTTTTTTTTAAAAAAAAGTCTTATTAAGGGGAATAAAAAAATCTTAGAAAAATAGCTTTCAGAAATAGCAGCCAAGTATACATTGAAATCAACCACACAAAAATGTGCTGTCTTTCATTTACTGCCTTGATTTTCTAACTAGTTTGTGGATGAATCTCATGAGGTTGAGCAGAGCATTGGGTGTTCAGTTACTACACAGTTTGATGAGCTCTTGGCAGCAGAGCAGGCAAGGCCCAGGAAGGGGCGGCAGAAAAGGCTGACATTTTGTTTGCCTATCACTAGTTCTAAAAAACCAGCTAACTTTACAACAGGCTTTCTGAAGACACACAGTGGCACTATGAACTATCACTTAACCCCAAAATAGAAAATGAGCTGCTTACTCCCTCACTAATTAGGATTAAGCTTACTATACTGGGTGAAACCAATATTCATTGTGTCTTTTCTTGGAATGACTAGGCATACTCAGAAAAAGGTGTTGGCTTCCAGTCAGTTCTCCACCTCAAAGGTGCTAAAATTGCTCAAAGAACAGCGATTTGATGGTGCAGTTACCACTTGAGCACACTGCACAAGCAACGTTCTGGCAACACCACCTAACTGAGTTGCACCAGGATAGATACTCGTCACCTTCTCCATAGACCTTCAGGTGCTGCAAACTCTTACAACTACGTAGGTGAACAGTATTCTGGATGGAAAAGAAAAAAAAAAAAAGCTAAGAAGTGAAATGGAAGGGCTAAGGACATCTGCCAGGGTGCCGACTTCCAAGGCAATGCATTGCTAAAAAGAAGAAAATGACAGTAGCACTGTGGACACATGGACTTGACATCACAGGGTTGAGAATGTCTAATACAAATATGTAATGCTGGTCTGGTAAGAGATCAAACTACCTGGGTGAAATATTTAGGTGTTTTGAGGACAAGTGAGGTGAGGAGCAATAGTGTTTTTAAGAAAATTTTTCATTCTGTCAATAATCAGTCTTTCTCTTAATGGGAAATGTGCTCAGCTATCCAGCATGCTGCACCCATGAGGAGCAAAGTAAAACTGGATGGAACTGCAATCTTAGTGTTCGTTGTCTAAGCGCTTCCTATGTTTCTGTTACTTGATTAAACACTTTGCATCTAATCACTACAACTATCTTGTCAGGTAGGTGTTAGTATCCTCATGAAACAGACAGAGGAACTGAGGCTCACAGAGTTGACTGTCTAAGGGTTTACTGCTAGCAACAGGGCTGGGGTTCAAAGCTCAAGCTCCTTTAATTACACCGCAGATTGTCAGAGCTGAGAGTATGTGACCTGTAAACAGAGTGAACGGGACGCCCTGAGCTGAAAGAGGAACACTAGACCTAGTTTATGCCTCCTTACCCCTCAGTGATTTGCCTGGCATTTGTTTGGTGTTCTGCTCAATGCTTCTATTTGCCCTCCAGGAAGATTGTCTGGCATTAATCCTTCTAGGTCACAGAGAAGGTGCTTCCATCTGTCCTGAAAAGAGTCTCATTGAACTCTCTATCAATGCCTTTATGACAGGGACCCTGGCCTTGCAACTTGGTTCACTAGCCTGCTTCAGGCTTCCTTATGCCTCTCACTTGCCACTCTGGAGCTTCCCTGGAGCCACAGAGGCACAGAGTGCCATGGGATTGCTCTGGGTCCATGCAAGCTCACTGGCTTGCCTGGCTGAGCCTTTGAGACTGCAGGGTGCAGGCTGCAAGCTGCAGGCAGGTGTGTGCTATTTCATGCTGCACTGTGACACTTGAGTTCTTAAGGCAGTGCACGCCAGGAGTGCACGTCAGCAGTGTGGGGGAACTGATGCCCTGTAGGTGAAATGTGACAAATGGCAGACAGTTAAATTCTTCTCTTTCTCTGTCATTGTTTTTCCATATATTCTTTCTGGAGATGTCCCTAGTGACCAACAATCAGCTGAATTTTCTGTTGACACTGTGGTCTGCTCAGTAACTTGACTACTTTTGCTTGCTCTGTTCCTTTTCTCCCTCACTCTCCCTCCCTCCATGAAATGTTTACATGCCAGATTTGCCTTAGATAGTTTTCTAAAAGACCAGTAAAGGATAATCATTATGATGACTGTTCTCTGTTAACCTCTACTACGTATGATAACCAGGTTTAGGGTGTGCATAGATGAAAGAACTATTTTTTGTGCATGAAATAAAGGGGGCAAGGAGAGTGCTTAGAGTTGGGTGGTCAGGCTGGGTTGCATAAATTGAAAGTCACCTCTTCTTTTTAGGAGGTTGTAGCTCTAAAATTCTCATGTCAAGAAGGATTGAAGACTTAGCAGCAGAGACTCATTTTCCTGCCACTGGAGCACAAGGACCACGAGTAAACGATCTTAATGGCCAAAAAGAAGAGGGAGGAAGAGGAAGACGATGGGAGAACGAGAAAGGGAGACACTCACCAAAGGAGACCCAAAATCTACTGATGTCTCACATCAAGGTACTCATGCTGGTATCAAGATAAAATAGGTCCAGGTGGTAGAAAAAGAAAGAACACTGTCCTATATTTGGATTTCTGTTCAACATATGACAAATACCAAAAGATGACCAATTTTTAGGAGTTCAGAATGGGATACTCACCACCAACCAAGACATCTGCCCCACATATTCTAATCTCAGTACTTTTGCTACAGGCCAGTTTGCAGACAAAGACGGTTGTACCCAGAGAAAGGCCTGTGACCTGAGAACTGAGGGAGTCACCATGCTGAATATGGATTCTATTCTTGAACTGATAGAGGATCAACTGGTTGAAACTAGAATATGGGGAACAGCCCTGCTTGGGCTTCAAAGAGCACGAAATATTGACTGATGATCCAAGGGAAATTAAACGGGAAGGCTTCACAGTCACGTTTCCTCTCTGGCACTCATCTGTGGTAAGACACAAACATAATACTCAATGCGTTAAGAAACCCATTTTAAAATGGATAGTATATGTAATTCCCTAAAACAGAGTAAAATTAACCCCATCAAATCATGGAAATGTAAATTACTCTGTGTTGGTGATGCACAAAGAGAACAAAATTAAATATATATATAAATATATATTTAAAGATTTATTTATTTTCATACAAGAACCGGGGTACAAGCCAGATGCACCGGAGGGTGAGAAGATTCACTGGAGACAGAGCAGGGAACAGAACAGGCAGACTGACGAAACACACTGCTGAGGGGAGCAGCAGGTGGGACATGAGAGGTCTGCCTCGCCATATGGGATTCTTGCTAGCCGGGATCGAACCCACGCTGCAGAGGCTGTGGACAGCTTCACAGTGTGGCGCTCAAACGCCTGCGCCACCAGGGAGGTCCAAAATTAAATATATTAAAGTCTGATTGATCTGATTTAAAACCTGGATCCTTCTCAAAACAGTAATACTATAACCAGAACTATTAATAGAAAAATGGTGAGAAAATGGGCCTCCCCTGGTGGTGCAGGCGGTTGAGCTCTGCACTGTGAAGCTGTCCGCAGTCTCTACAGTGCCAGTTCGATCCCGGCCAGCCGGCGAGGGTCCCACATGGCGTGGCAGACCTCTCCTGCCACGCCCACTGCTCCCCTCAGCAGTGTATTTCATCAGTCTGCCTGTTCTGTTCCCCGCTCTGTCTCTGGTAAATCCTCTCATCCTCCCATACATCTGGCCTGTACCCCGGTTCTTGTATAAATAAATCTTAAAAAAAAAAAAAAGAAAGAAAAGAAAAGTGGTGAGGTGAGAAAATTGTGTTGGAACAAACATTCAGGAACACAGTTCCAGGAAAAACCAATCTCTTCTATGCAAATTATTCACCAGACTACTAAAAAATACTTTCCAGAATAAATCAGATTTGTTTCCATCCTCATTTCTGATTTATAATGCTTATAGTAGTACTCATAATAAAAAGAAAAATTAAGAAAGCTTTAAAAGGCTATTGTAAACTTTACGCAATAGATTTAGGAATAATTCCTTCTTTTGCTATGTTAGTGGTATAAAGTATGTGTAATTTGTTACATTATTGTATAATAAAGAGAAAATATTCAGGGGCTCTGGTGTGTTTGTGGTGGAATTAGGTCTTACTATACCACATTCTGATATTCCTTCAAGATATTAGTCCTTGGGCTAGCTGAATCATTACTCAACACAGCTAATATGAAATTGCATGGATGTATTCTCCTTTTTAAGAGTTCTTCATATTATGTACTCCATGCTAGATATTACATTACTCCATGCTTCCTTACTTAAAAGGAAGGTGACTCTTACTCTCCAGAAGTTTGTGTATAAATATGATGACTATTCAGCAACTAGCAGTTTTGGATGGCACCTGGTAACTACAGATGAAAGAAACTCAGAATTATAGATTCACCACTGAATTTTTAGATGTGATTTAAAGCTTCCACTGAAAGTCTTTTTTGGGTAATTGTGAGACTGCTTAGCTCAACTAACGTAAACAGGAATTGGGAGAGAAGTTATTTAAATCAAAGGAAATACTGAAAATTTACTTACAGGAAAAAGTTCTCATTTTTTATTTTCAGGACTAAAACTAAGTCTTCTCTCTCTCTCTTTCTCTCTCTTTCTCTTACCTTCCTAATGCCTATTTTCTGTTCTTTGACCCTAATGGGCCAGAAAATTAAAAAAAAAAAAAGCAAAGGAAAAAAAAGAAAGAAAAAAAAAAAGAAAAGAAAATGACAGCCATTATTATTATATTTTTAAAACAAAGCTGAGTACACCCATGAATAACCGCGTAAAATACACCGTAATGTAATGCATTCATTCATGATGTCTAGTTAGGTTGCTGGCCACTTTCTTAAGAGAAAAATAATATGATTGAGCTCTTATACTAATCATTAGTATAAGGTAAATAAAATGCATATTAGCTACAGACACAGGGCCAGACAAAATTAGTTACTAAAGACCAACTACCAAAACACAATGTATATTTCATCTATTACCAAAAATTTAAAACCACAAGTTCTTCCACACACTATTACAGAAATATCTTACCTATTTTTGCTTTAACGAACAGCAACAGGATTACAAAAACAAGAGCCAGTGAGCATGCTCTAACCGCATGTGCCATGAACAGTCCACTCTGGAATACACTTCTGTATTTTTCCTTGTAAAAGAAGACAAATTCACTAAATACATTCAGAAAATGCCAGAATGAACAACATTTAGAAGGGCTTCAAACATTCCTTTAATTTTCTACATATTGTTAAGGATTTTGCTTGTTATTTTTAAAAGATAAAGTATACCTTTAAAGCCACAGATGAAACTAGCAAAAATAAGACTCTTACCATCCCTCCCCCATCCTGTCACTTAAACTTCTTGGATTAGTAAAGGGTGGAGAGGTTCCATAGCCTTTGGAGTCCTTTAGAACTAGATTTAAATACTTTGAGACTATGGGCAAATTATTTCATATTTCTGAGCCAGTTCCACACAATTTTTTTTCCTTTCAAACAAGGCTGAATCATCATATTTAAACATAGAGGTATTAACTCTTTTTTTTTTAAGATTTATTTATTTATTTGTTTGTTTACTTATACAAGCACTGGGTACAGTCAGAAGCACGGGAGGATGAAAGAATTCACCAGAGCCAGGGCGGGGAGCAGAGCAGGCAGTAGGACTGAAGCACACAGCTGAGGGGAGCAGCAGGCGGCAGGAGAGGTCTGCGCACCATGTGGGACCCTCCTCTGGTGGGCGGGGAGCAGCCGGGGATCGAACCAGCGCCACAGAGGCTGCGGGCAGCTTCACAACCCAGTGCTCAACCGCTGCTCCACCGGGGAGACCAGAGGTATTAACTCTTAAGAATGAGAATTTCTGATCTATTTGTGTGCTTCTGGAAGAAGGGGTTTAAAAATAGTGCATATAACACCTTTTCCAAGAATTTAAAAAAAGAGTGATCTCCTTGGCAGTAAGAAAGGAATTCTAAGGATTCTAATGCAAATGCTTAGGTTTTCCACAGAAGTTCGATTTTACTTGTTTGCTTGTTTATTAATTATTTTTTAAAGTATTTTTTATCTTGAATGATTCAGAAAATGCAAACTGGTGATTTCTGCTTCCAAATTTAAACCTAAGGAATGGTGCTTGTAGTCATTAGCAAATTCTCTAAATTCTATTACAGTAAGCCAAAAAATTATAAAGTAGAAAGCTCTGTGATGTCAGGTCACTCAGAGCCAGCCACTGAGAATGTTTACTTCTTATTCCCATACCTAGAAATACACCAGAATATATTGGACAGCCTTAGTAAAATTCACTTACTCATTCAGCATTGATGATGACTTTTCATGTGCCAAGCACTACATTAAATGCTAGAGATATCTCAGTTCCGCCCTAGAGGGCATCTAGGTGATTGCCAACTTGCCCCTTTGGAAACTTCTACCTCTAATAGAGTTATGGCTCAGGAAAGACCCAAATACTACTAGCATCTTTACAACAGTCTTTGCTGGCTATCCTTCATCTACTTTCTGACTCTTGGAGAACCTCAGTACCCAGAAGATGTATTTTTTCTCCATTTCTACTTTCTCCTGGGGGGAATCTCATTTCAACTAAACAGTTGGCTCTAGATAACAGGTTTGCTGAAGACTCTCATATACATATCCTCACCTCAGACATCTTTCTGAAGTCTAGTCTCACATGTCCTCTTCTAGGTATCATTCCTTGTTGTTGTTGTTTTTTTTTTTATCATACTGCTAATATTAACAATGTTCAGTTGGAATTTTTGGTCTCTCTTCTTTCTTCTTTCTACATACTGGTTCTTCTCCCAGTCTTTTCTATTTCTATGAATAACATCCTTATCCTCTAAGTTGCTAGAAAACCTAGACGTCATCCTTGAGTCCACCCTCTTTCTTATCCCTTGTAATCACACAGTGGCAGCATCACCAAGTCCTACTGTTAGGGGGAAAGGATGTCCTGAGCTAATTCCATGCAGGCTTGTGGACTCCACCCCCCATTCCAGACCAAAGCCATCAAGACATTGGGAAAGACAAATCCCGTCACCATCAAAGGGAAGGTGGCTGGGACCTGAGGGTGGAGTTAAGCAGCCAGGTTTGGTATAAAAACCAAACACGTGGGCCCTGGGGGGCTCGCTCTCTCGCTCACTTCCTGGCATCATGGCTCCTGGCTTGCAGCCAGCTCTCAGATCGCCATTTGGGATTCCAGATTGGCGGATCGGGTGGGACGCATTTAAAACTTTGTCTTCCACTTTTCTCCCCGAGTTGTACATTTCCTCATTTTCCCTTCCCTTGTAAATAAACCTTTTATTGACCTTTCGTGTGTGCCTGCAGTAGCGTATTGATAAGTCCTTTTAAGCGTGTGGGTGAGGACCCACAGTCAGGCGACCTGTTTTGTATCGAGGCTTCCCTATAACACTATCAATTCTACTTCACAACTATATCACAGATCATCCAATTCTCCCAATTTCTCTTATTTTCATCCTAGTCCAAACCACTCTCATTTCTCCCCTAGATGACTACCGTAGCCCTCAAATACCTCTGCAATTCATCCTTGCCCTTATTCTAAGTCATTTTCACATAGCTGACTACCTTTTAAAAATATAAACCAGATTGTTACCTGCTTCATACCACCAATATTTAAAACCTTTCAACCAGTCTCCATAAGATTTAGAATAAAATCCAAAGTTTCACCACATCCCATCTCTCAGTCCAGCTTTATCGTCATAATCTCTTCTACTTTTTTGACTTGCTCACTCTGCTCTACTCAGACTGACCTTCAGACCGTTCCTTGAAAAAGATATGCCCTTTGCTGCCTGGGGACTCTGTACTTTCTATTTCCTCTGCTAGAATCATCTTCCCCAGTTCTTAGTAGAAGACTTACGACTTTCAGAATTCAGATCATGTGTCACTTCCTCAGACAGCCCCTCCCTAACCTCCTGGTCAAAGTGGTCTTGCCTAGTTACTATCTACTCACTTGCCTTCATGGTAAAATCTGTAACCACTTTGTTTATTTACTTGATTATTTGTCATCTACCTTTGTGCTAGAGTTTAAGTCACCATTATAGCAAGAACATTGACTGTCCTGCTCACCGTTGTAAGCCAGCATTTAGCATTGGGAAACAGTTAGTACTAAAAATGTGTATTGAAAGAAAGCTGGAATATGAGTTATGGAAAATCTCGTATAAACATGGTGGTAGACAGAATACTGGCCCACCATAGGTGTTCATGTCCTAATCCCCAGAACCTGAAAATATATTATTTTAAGTCACAGCAGGACTTTGGAAATGTGACTAAAGTTAAGGGCCTAAGGGTGAGTTGACCTGTATTATTCAAGTGGACCCAATCTAATCACAAGAAACCTTAAAAATGCACAAGGGAGACAGAAGAGTCAGAGAACTATGGTGTGAAAAAGACTCAACCTGCCACCACTTGCTCTGAAGGAAGGGGGCCATGAGCCAAGGAATGTGGTAGCCTCTAACATCTGGGGATGGGTATCAGTTTACAGTTAACATAAAATAGATTCCTGGTGGATCTTGTCTTAAAATGATTGAGAAACACTTATATAAACCAAAACCTGACAATTTTCCTCTTACTAAACCATAATGTCCAAGGTCAAGGCATACAATGGCCTCTGTGCGCTGACTCCTGTCTTTATCACCAGCCACACCCAACACTCTGCTGACACTCTAGCGTTTAGTAATACTGAGTTGCTTACAGTTCCCCTGTACATCTCATGCCAATTCATGCTTCTGTGTCTATGCTCATGCTATTTACCTTTTCACTGTTCTTAAACTGGCTGCATCTTTCTCATCCCAATCTAACTCAGCCCAGACACCTTGCATTCAGTCATTCATCCAACGAGTTTGTACTAAGCAGTTGCTATGTGCTATGGTTTTGGGATACAATACAGAACAAGACAGGGGCTCAGCTCTTGTGGTATCCATATTCTGGAATGGGAGACAGAAAACAAAGAAATAAAACAATAAGTTCAGACAAGGATAAAAGAAAACATAAAAGAGGCTCTGGGGAGAGAGAGCCTGGAAAGGAGATAATCTGGTCAATGAAGGCATTTCTCTGAGGTGAAGCTTGTGCTGAAATTGATGTTGGTAAAATGAAGACTCGGAATTTTTCTGACAGTAAACCAGAGTGCAAAGCCTGGATGAAGAGAAACAAGTTTGTTGCTAGTGAGGTAGAGAAATACAGGGTGGCAGGGAGGGATGGTATGAAAGGAAATCGGAAAAGAAGGCAAGAGCCAGATCTACCATACACTTGTTGCTGTGTAAGAGAGCCTGGATTTTACCCTCAAAGTTATGGGAAACAACTAGTGTTTAATTAGAAGTTTTATTTATTTATTTACCTGGCTTTTAATTGGAGGTGTTATAAGATATGAATTACCTAAACACACACACATACAAAAACAACAAACAAGAGCACCATTACTGGCCCCACATATGTGGGGCAGATGAAAGCAGGTAGACCCTTAGGAAGCAATTGCAGAGATCCAGTTAAGAAATAATGATGTTGTGGACTACAGTTATAGTACTAGTGATGGAAAGAAGCCTTACCTACATCTTCAGGTGAGACTGAAGCCTCTTACTCCTACTATCTTCATACATATTGGCATCCTCCTATTTTAGCACTGGCTAGAGTAAGTGGAACTAGTATTTTTTGGTATCTGCCTGGCTCCTCCGCTAACTTTCAAGCTCTTCATCAGCGGGCACGAAAATATGGCCTGTGGTAGGCAAGTGCTGATCTGAATGAAACGTAAATGGTTTTTCTTTGTTCACTGATTTTGCTTCAAATTTAATGTAGCTATATTAAAACTACATTAAATCTCATTCTGTTATATTGTGGCCAATATCCTTAATATGTTTTTTTTTTTTTTAAAGATTCATTTACTTATTTATACAAGCACTAGGCACAGACAGAAGCACGGGAGGGCGAGAGAACTCAACAGAGCCAGAGTGGGGAGCAGAGCAGGCAGAAGGACCGAAGTACACTGCTGAGGGGAGCAGCGGCGGCAGGAGAGGTCTGCGCGCCACGTGGGACCCTTGCCCGGTGGCCGGGGATCAAACCGGCGTCCCAGAGGCTGCGGGCAGCCTCGCAACCCAGCGCCCAACCGCTGCGCCACCAGGGGAGGCCCTATCCTTAATATGTTTTTATTTATTATAGTTACTTTAGTTGCTTCATTAAAGTTTGAAATATTCTAGCAAGTAGGAAATTATGAATCAAACAGAAGATAATTTATGAACAGATACATAGGGATTAAACAGGTTTCTGCAAAAGTTTTCTACAGGATATTTTTCAATATGCATTGACTATGAAGCTATACCATTCTTCAAATAGTAGCATATTCAACAATAAAATATTCATTTGGTCATTATAAGTGCATATTAGAACATACATTTATGAAATGTGCATATATGTGAACATATATACATATACTCATAAATACAACTATATATGAAATTGGCAAGAGAGGATAAATCTAAATTTATATAGTACATTAAACCAAGCACAAACTTGCTCATTTTCTCTGAATACCAAGTAAAATAGCTTCTTTATTTATAAGAAACTCAGAGTCCAAAAGATCTTCAAGTAAATGAGGTAACTTCCAATAAAACGAAACCTCCTATTGACTGTAAACATCCTTCATTTGGCCTGCATGGAGGGTCGATATTCAAACTACAACTCTATCTTGAATCAGAAAAATCAAAGAGCATGCTATGTCATTGACTCATCACTTAAGTTGTGACAGTTTCCAGACAGTGAAAATAATGTTTCAATGAAGAAACACTGATACACTGTGCAGGAGGGCAGAGACCCTTCAGTCTCTTTCCAACATTGCTCTAGGAGGAAGCACAAAATAGGCAGCTAACTCAAAATCACATTTTACTAGGTTAGGAAAAATCGTTATCACAGGTAATAATTTCTACTTTCACATTACTTTTCTGTAGCACTGTGTTAAGTTCAAGGGGCAGTGTGGTATTATGGAAAAGAAAAGAGCTGGCAAATCTCAATTCTGCTGTGTGCTATTAGCTGTCAAGAGTGCTATTTTCTCATTCATACAGTGGGCATAGTGATACCTACCTAGACAAAGTTATTGGGAAGATTAATATGACAGTGTTCATGAACCCACAAGAACATCGAGCACAAAGCAGACTTTCCACTGAGGCTAGTTCCTCAAATTCAAGAAACTTTAAAAGCTTAAATCCCTTTTTATTCTAATTTCAGATTGTTTTCTCTATTCCCTTTTAATAACTTCTTTATCATTTTTCTCAAGAAAGTTCCCCTTCTTTTCTCCATACTTTTTCATTTTTTTTCTGGAATGTTCTTTCTGTTGATTTTCTATTCTTTATTTCAGATAGATCATACTGGACACAACAGGCAGGCTTCTGAAATGCTGTGTGTAAAAATTACATTTAAGATGCATTAGGGAATTTTATTTTACCCCAACCAATGAATCAATTGCACTGAGAACTGTCTTATGAACTGAACAAGTGCTCCTAAAATATAAGAATGAAAAATACAGAAAGAAAGAAGGAACAAGACATGGGTGGAATCTTGCAGAAAGAAGGAACTTTCAAACCAACTGATATTATTTGCTGCATTTCCTATTCTTTCTTTGATTAGCTCCTACAAGCCTCCCATTTTCATGACATTTGGTCAATTAAGTTTGAATAGTCCAACCTTCCCTATTTTCTACCTCTGCATCCCACTGAAGTTATAAATAAAACAAACCATCTTCTACTGGGAAGGATGATGTACTCGAAGGAGCACAGTGTCTGTGACTAGAGGATCTGGATTCTATCCTGGTTCCTCTTCTTCTACTGTGGCATCGTTAACCTCACATTTCAAAGGCTCTTTTCCCTGTTTGAAAAAAGACTAGTCATTTACTGAGAATACTAAATCTCTTTCATTAACATTTCTTCCTTAGTCTGTTGGAAAGGACTCTCCTTGGACATTCTCAATTTTGAAGTTTTTGTGAACGTCATGAAAGTGGCAGCTTTACCTCTGGATCTTGGGTATTGTGTGATATTCTGGCAAGTTTGCTTTACCTTTTTTTTTTTTTTTTTTTTTTTTTTTATAGAGGCATGTTTTATTTATTTATTTGTTTGTTTGTTTGTTTTGTTTATACATGCACTGGGTACAGTCAGAAGCGCGGGAGGGTGAGAGAATTCACCAGAGCCAGAGCGGGGAGCAGAGCAGGCAGAAGGACCGAAGTACACTGCTGAGGGGAGCAGCGGGCGGCAGGAGAGGTCCGCGCACCATGTGGGACCCTCCTCTGGTGGCCTGGGAGCAGCCGGGGATCGAACCGGCGCTGCAGAGGCCGCGGGCAGCTTCGCAACCCAGCGCTCAACCGCTGCGCCACCGGGGAGGCCCTGCTTTACCTTTTAACATCAATCCCTGAGTCTTTTTACAAAGTGCTATGAGACATTATACATATGAAAACATATTACAATTACTTCGTTTTTAGAGTTCTCTAGAAATTTCACAATTATCTTTAGATAAGTTAGAGTGAAGGCACACTGGGGGGAAAAGAGTGAAAATACTAAGACTATTTATCACCATTCCATATTTTTCCCTAGGTGTTTTATGTAAACTAAGAACTCAACTGAAGTCTGTACTAACAAACCCACTGTCTCCACATTTCTGTCTGATGTTTTACTTAACGTTTTCCTTTCCCACTGTGCATTACTGCAAAAGAGACACAAAGTAAGATTCTTACTTTACTTATTTAGCAATTTATCACAATGCTGAGCATGCTACTGAGGTTTAACAACTGTCTTCTACTACATAAAATAACTGTTGGTATCTCTATTCTACAGCAGAGAAATCTTCAAGTTGACCAAGATAATATAGGAAAAAAAGAGGTAACTTCAGAATTACATAAATTAGATCTACCTTCCATGCTTGAGTTTCCTCATCTGTAAAATGAGAATAAACATAGCACCTAACTCACAGGGTTATTGTGGGGTGGGGAGGGGGAGTTAAGCAAGATGCTCTTAGCAAAATGCCTGGCATATACCGAGAGCGCAATAAATATTATCATTTGCTATTACTATTATTAAGAAAAAGGATGATATCACTTATTTTCAAGGGTGTTGTTAGAATTTAGACTACTTTCTGACCTCTTTGCCCATTCCTTTGGGTGATCACTGAAAGATTTGATTAAAATTAAATACCATGCCTCTTTATAACATCTATCACTTATGAAAAAATAGGTGTACTTGTAATTCTTGTCTTCCTAAACAGTTTTCATTTCTTAATGACAGAAACTAGGTCTTACATTTCTTTATATTCACTACAGCAACTAGTACAAATGTGTTGAATATAACAGGTGTTTGATGCATATTTGAACTTTAAAAAGCCATTGTTAGGATAAAGCACCACAAAGTTCCAAGAGCAAAGGAAACTGGATGAAGTTTCTTTGGGGTTTAGTTTTCTTTTCAGGTGGGCACAAATTTTCATGCAGAAGTTGAGAGCAATGCTGTGCACACAATTACAAAGAGTACAGTATGTAAGGGAACAAGCCATGTGCATCAATTAGAAAATAAATCCACAATCAAGAAATGATGTACAACCTCTACTATGCTTAGAGGATTCTTTGTCCATAAAAATCATTTATGTGCATTAAAATTCTATTCACATTAGAACTCATTTTAATATAGCAAAGATTAAGAACTTGTGAAAATTTGGACATTCACCATCCGATGTAAACATCATGATACTTAAACATGACATAAAAATAAAAGCATATTGCAAGTTCTTAGAGCCTAACAAAAGATGGTAATGAACTGAGGATTTAACATTACAGTGGTAGAGAAGAACATCAGCTCTTAGCCACTAAAATCCATTCAGTTATATCTTGGGCAGAGAAATAGGGATCTGTTCCATTCCTTGGTGGTGGGAAAAGAAAATCTACTGTTTATTTGCTCAAGTGAAGATGGATATCATAGTATGAGGCAAAAGACAAGGAGCCGAGAGTTTGGAGCCAGACACCCATAACTCATCACTCTATGAAAGTGCACAAAAAGTTCCCACCACTCCACAGGGTTTTTAAAGACTTATGTAAAAATACAATATGTATACTCAAGGGTCAGGAACATAGTAAGTGCTCAACAAACACTTTTATCTAGGCAGGACAAATGCCTACAGGGTTGTAACAATTATCCAGAGTTGAAAAAACAATGAAGACTAATTTTGCCTCCTCCTTTCGACTTATCAGGGAAAAATCTTTTTGTGTCTTTTGGGTTACTATTTGTAAGACTTTAACCTTTCACAAAGGTTACATATGCCCCTCAACCAGGTGAGAAGGGCCTCCCTAGGCGAGCCCTTTCACAAATGAGCAAACTGAGGCTGGCCTTGGTTGCCCAGAACCTTCTACAAAGGAGCCAGCCAGGACTCCTGTTCCGGCGACAGAACCCACAGGAAAGAGCAAAGAGAAAGGGACAGCTCAGCCTCGCGTGAGACTAAGTAGCTGCCTCACTGTCTTACAGAAAATGGGCTTACAGGTCCATTTTCAAACACCGAGTCTCACTCGCAGGCCTAGCCCAAGTCTGGATGCTGAGGGGTACCTTCGCCCTTTTCTAGACCGCCTCAGGGAGCACCTGTAGCGCCAGGACGCGCCCCCTCCCCTCTCCTCTACCTGGCCGAGCCCCCACTGAACTTTCCCAAGTGAACCTCACCTCTGGGCGGCGTGAGCACCTTCACGAGGAGAGGCCTTGCCCCCCCTCAGCCTCCCAGGAGAACAGGGGGAGGAAGCCCGGGCTTTCGGACGCCCAGCTCCACGACGGCCGGGGGTTCCCGGGGTCTCCGGCGCCCCGCCCCCACCTCCCCTCACACGTCCCCCCACACGTCCCCCCACACGTCCCCCACTGCTCCCCCACAGCTCCCCCCACACTTCCCCTCCCTCCAGCCGTGGGTCGCTCACCCCGCTTCGCCAGCTGCTGGCCAGGCGCGAGCCGGTGGTCTGGGGGGGGTTCGGGCTGCACGTGTCGCGCTGGCCGCGGCCGCTCCCGGCGCCCGCCCTTTCCACGCCCGCCTCGCCCGCCGCGCCCCTTGGACCCCGGCGAGGGGCGCTCCGGCGCCGACGTGTGGCGAGCGGGGCCCGGCGCCAGGAAACCCGCAGCGGCTCGGGGGCCGGACGCGCTGCCGGCCCGCGCCCGCCGCTCCCACGCTCAGGGCCCGGCGGGGCAGGAACCCGCCCGGCGCTGGCGGCTGTGCCGTGTCGCCTGGAACAAGGTACTGTCGCCGCGCACCTCGGTTTCCTTTTGTAAGTCACCTGGACGGGAGAGCCTGGCTCAGAAGACGGAGGGAGGATTGAGCGAGTCGGTGCGGTGACTGACTCGCCGCTGGTTGATAAGAGAAGCACCACAAAAAATCATGTTCTCGGCTCTGACAGAGAAGGGGCACTTGGTTGATATTTGTCAACTTTCCTCAGAGACGTTCTTCCTCCGTGACTGCGGGCCACCCCGCTCCTACCCCAGCCTGGTGTTATGTCTCTAAAGTGTGCAAGACAGTCCACGGGGGTGTGGGGAGAAAATATTCCGGTTTTCATTTGTGTTTGCTATCTAAAAAGTAAGAAATTAACGTTTGCTAATGGTATGACGTGGTGCAGTGTCCTACGTAAGTGAGGAGTCTAAGAAAGGGGGGAAACTACACAAATGCAGAGAACTGGGCAACTGTACCCTCTACTTAGGACATTAAATTAGGACTTCATCAACTCTATAGAACCCATGCGATTATGCATGTACCACAGAAACAAAAATAATTGCTGCATAAACTGTGGCATAATGCTCTGATATCACTAAGAATATTTAAATCAACATTTTATGTACTGTAATAACCCTTTTAGATTTAAACATGTCTATCATCAATCATTCACACACCTTCAAACAATGAAAAGGGACATATAAGCAAAATTAATTAGTTAAAATATTTTTCAGACACTTTCATAGACTCCAACACTTCTGATCAGGTTTTTGTTTCACCCAGTATCTATCTCAGTGACACAGTGTTAATAAAGCAGTAATTCTTTTTTTTTTTCCCATCTGCTCATCTGTTTATTTTATTTTTACATCATTTTTCATTTTTGTACAATGTATGCCTTTTCATCTTGATTATAGTCCCTGTACAATTCCCACCACCCTTGTATTGATCCTACTCCCTCTTCTCCCTCTCTCCCCCCCTTTATAGTTGCTTGTTGATTTTGATTTTAACTTTATTATTATTAGTCTTTTTGCTGGTCCCTTATTTGGGTTTTCTAAATTCCTGCTGTGAGTGAGACCATCCAGTATTTTTTAAAGCAGTAATTCTTAAAGATTGTCCTCCCACTGTTATCTCAGGTATTTTTCCAACCCACTAAACCCAATGCAGTTTTACTGAGCATTCACCAACAGCCAATTTCATGACATCCTGTTTGGGGAGTGGGCATAAGACATCTGCAATTTGGACACATTAAATATGAAAAATGTACATCTTAAAAATCAGCAATGTACAGTAGATTGCTTTTTTGAGACTGACATTGTAGTTCACATACTTGAGCAATTTATCTACTCAATAATTTGATAAAATCTTTAAAGTTGTGAAGTCAACATTATTAAGTGAGTAAATCATTTACAACAAATTAAGAGTGTTTTTAGTTAAAAGTGAGGTTTTTAATTTTATCTTTTTTACAATGATAAAAAATTTTTCTATAATGATATATGTCTCTCAGTAGTATGTTACTTAATAGATTTTTCTGAAAAAAAAAAAAAATCATAGACTTCTTTATTCCTTAAAGATAAAGATACTATTTAACACTGAATGAGAAAGTTTTATGAAGAGAACATTTGACAACAAATATTTTAAAATGTTGCCTTGTTGTGTATTTTTTGGCTAAAATTTATGTTGGTCACCTACAAAATAATGCTGTAAGAATATGGGAACAATTCCTTATTCTCTTTCATTTGAGTAGTTCAGTAAATTGTGAACTCTTTTGTTAAAAAATATGAAAATGCAAGTTTCTAATTAGTTTGAACGGACAACTGATCAATAGTATTGATAATAAAATGTGTTAACCAAACATTAATAATAAGCTTGTATAACTCATGGATTAGGTAATTTTAAAATAATTTTTAGTGAGAAGAAAGGTTGTTATTTAGCAAGTTATTCCAAAAATATACTTTACTTACTCGATCTCATTTTAAAATTGAATTTATATTTTGTGTACATTTTACAATGTATTGTAAACATTGCAATATATATTTATGTATGCATATATAAAAATTTATAACTAAATGAGAAAAGCAACAAATATACTGAAGATATGTTATCAGATTCCTTTTTTCTGAAGGAGTGCACAAATCTAAAATGTTTAAACATCTTGGTCTAACTTTTAATTGCAACATCTTATTGTGTCTAATTGTTAAATTAGACACAGGATAAGACTAAGTAAGATGCAGGCAACAGTGATTGCCTTCATTCTTATTTACCCCTAGATATAAATAAATACGGTGACCAATTATAGAAATATTTGAGAATCACCACCTTCTAAATCTATAAGTGTATCATTCACTTCAGGGTTAAATCCAAAACATTTGTGTTAATGGTTATTGATTCAATTACAGTGGGCCTCTCATCTTTCCTGCATTAAAAGCTTCACAAGTGCAAGAACCCTGTCTCCCTTATCTACAGCACCTGAAACAGGACAGGTAAACATCAAATATATATTAGTAGCATTGACTTGTTCTGGAGAGATCTCACTCTTTTTGGTCAGTAGGAGGTGTTGAATCTTCAAATCTTTCAACAGAGTTACAAAGTAGTTGAAAATTATATACAATTTTTCTTAGTAAGTCAGTGACCCTTCCATATGGAATCCAACCATCTGTGGAGGCCTGTCTATTTTTTTGCTTCCTGTCTCATCATTCTCCTCCTCCTTCTTTTAGCATCTAGGGAATTTCCTAGCAGATGCATCATTGTTGTCCGCGGTTACCTTTCTAGTTAGAGAAAAAAAATCTTATGTATTTTCTGAGAACAAGTTCTATACAATAGAGAATGCCTGAAGAACTGAGAGCCTAATATATAAACCAAAATATCAAACTATGTATGTTAAAATGATTATTTTTAAGTCTATGGGTGTGAGATGACCTTTTGTATAGCTGCAGCTAGATGAATGCACTGGTAAATCAAAAGTGCAATTAAGTGAATAACCACAATGACAGTGACAAAGAGTTTTCTAGGAAATACCAGTTTAGTTTCCATTTCTGGTTCATTTCTATTCCTTTAAATGTCTATTTTGGCTCATTGTTGATACTAAAAGTCCTGAAAATACTTACTCACACTGTGCTATAAACAACTGAGTGTCATTTGTCAGAATAAATAGTGAGAGTTGGTTGCCAAATTATGAACTTATTGCATCAGACAAATGTTGGCACCTGTTGAATTTGGTAAGAATGTTTTGACATAGGGCCTCCCTGGTGGTGCAGGTGATTGAGCACCGCACTGTGAAGCTGTCCACAGCCTCTGCAGCGCGGGTTCTATCCCGGCGGCCGGCCAGCGAGAATCCCACATGGCAAAGCAGACCTCTCGCTCGCTGCTCCCCTCAGCAGTGTATTTCGTCAGTCTGCCTGTTCTGTTCCCCGCCTGTCTCTGGTGAATCTTCTCACCCTCCCAAGCATCTGGCCTGTACCTTGGTTCTTATATAAAAATAAATAAATCTTAAAAAAAAAAAAAAGAGAATTTTTGACATACACTTTAACCTGTTACTTATAACAAGGAGATCAGAATCTAAGATTAATCATATGGCTTCATTTTGTAAAAATTTCATTTCTGGAGTTTTTCATTATTTTTTTTTCATTATATTTACTTGTCTGTCCAAAGTGTTGCACTTACAGATTATTGGTAATCCCCAAATATTCTTAAAATGCAGAGTTGCAACTTTTCCACAGCTGGCATTTAGCAAGCACAGATATTTATTTATTAAAAGATTTATTTATTTATTTATACAAGAACCAGGGTACAGACCAGATGCGTGGGAGGGTGAGAGGATTCACCAGAGACAGAGTGGGGAACAGAACAGGCAGACTGACGAAATACATTGCTGAGGGTGGCAGCGGGAGAGACAGGAGAGGTCTGCTGCGCCATGTGGGACCCTCACCGGCCAGCCGGGATCGAACCAGCGCTGCAGAGGCTGTGTGCGGACAGCTTCACAGCACGGCACTCAACCGCCTGCGCCACCAGGGGAGGCCCAGCACAGATATTTAAAGATTTATTAATTTATGCATACAAGAACTGGAGTACAGGGCAGAGGCATGGGGGGTGAGAGGATTCACCAGAGACAGAGTAGGGAACGGAACAGGCAGACTGACTGAAACACACTGGTGAGGGGAGCCGTGGGCAAGTCAGGAGAGGTCTGCTGCACCATGTGGGTAGCTCCCTGGCTGGGGATCGAACTCATGCTGCAGTGGCTGTGGAAAACTTCATAGGTTGTGTCTTAACCCCTTGTACCACTAGGGTGGCCCAAGCACAGATATTTGTAGATGAACAAACCACATACAAAATGCCTTGTCTTCAGTAGTAGCAATGCATTTTTAAGATGTTTTCAGGGGTCCATTAAATGAAAATAAAGATTAAAGAGTGAAATGAGACATAAGCAAATTTGAAACACTGACAACCATAAGGTTCTACAGAATACAAATTTGATTTACAGTCTGCCTCTGCTATTCTCAAAGGGTAAATCTAAAAGTTATAGAATTCACATTTTCCATAATATAATGGTATGTTACTTGGTCATGAGAGAGAGAACTTTTGGTGGCTAAAGAGACGGTGTTTTGTATGTTATTTTAAAGAGAAGAGCAAGTAACATAAAATATATATTTCTCACAAACATTCCTACACAAAATCACAATATATTCCTCATTCATTCATTCATTGAGTTTTTCAGTGAGAGCTTCATGAAGAGTACTCTGGAATATGGATATTGATGAACATTAACATTCCTTTCTTTATTTCAGCCTTTTTGTTTCCAAATATCTTCTTTTGTTCTATGCTTTCCATGAAAAAGAAATACTCTGTGATTTCCCAAGTGAGAAAACCCAAGATTCTGTCTTGTCTCTGCTACCAGCTTAGTGTCTAAGCTCTGGGTAGTGAGTATTGGTGTCTGTCTAGAGTGATATGACTCCTTTGGTTTAATGCCTATAAATTCAAAATACATGTTGCTTGCATCCCACTTTCCCAACCCCCCATGTAAAATGGTGAAAAAGAGAAAACTATGGAATACCAGAAATCACTAGTCTGAAGCAGTGGTATGTTACCTATAGGACCCTTTGGTAAAACTGAGATAGGAAGTTCAAGAAGACTCCTTTCCTGTGAGCCAAACACTACATAGTAATATATAATTCTAATAATTTCTGTTTTCTCTCCAAAATGAAAGTTTTGTTGAAATCTTTTTTCTCTTCATACCTTTATAAATATATAAAAACATAATATGTCTTTCTGCATTTAGCAAAACTGAGTCTATCTATCTATCTGTCTGTCTATCTATCTATCTATCCATCAGTCATCACCCATCTTTTGTTTTTCTTTACTGCATGGCATAAACTTTATTCCATAGCACACATTTTTTCCCCAGTAACTATAAGTATTCCATACAGTATGTATAATAACATTTAGTCAACCACTCTCTTATTTATAGATCTTAAGGTTTTTTTCCAGTTTTCTCCCAAACAAAAATACAACATATGAAAATAAAAAATATTCTTATACAGATACATGTACAAGTGTATGGTCCTTTTTATTTATGTGTAATAGATTTTCACATGTGGCTTGTTGAAGCAAAAGGGTATATGATATATTTACTGTAATGGATCATTCCACATTATTATCCACATTGTGGTACTTCACACTCCTAGTAGTATATCACATTATCACTAAGTCAATGATATCTATCTTCTATAATTTATATCAATCTAAAGAACTAAGCTTTAACCTCTATAACCTTGACTGAGAACATCTTTTCATATGTCTGAGAGTTTTTTTAAAAAATATGTATTATTAACTTACTGTCTACCTTCAAATAGTGTTATACTAATTTACATATAAGAAAGAACTTTATAACAGTATGCTCTTATCTTCTTATCATCCATACTATTTTAATGTACATCATACTTTCATACCTAAGTCTCACAATATGTTACTACTTTTGCATTTGTCATTTATCTTTTAAAGAAATTTAAATATAAGAAAAAGGTTTTCAATATTTTCCCACATACATTTGATTCCCCACATACATACCATCAGTTTCCACTGAGCATCATTTTACTTTCACCTAAAGAAACACCTCTAACATTTTCTATAGTGGAGGACTACTAGTGACAAGTTTTCTCTGCTTTTGTTTGTCTAAAAATATCTTTTATTGATTTAGGTATAAGACCTACAACAATTAAACACATAGAAGAAAACATTGGTGATATATCCACAATAAAGATATTTTTGGTGACTCAACTCGTATGGCAAGGGAATTAAACACAAAAATAAACAATTGGCATTACCTCAAATTAAAAAGTTCTATGATGCAGAAGAAACTACAAGATGAGTAAATAGACACCCCCACTGAGTGGGAAAAATATTGACATAATATATAACTGATAAGGGATAAATATCTAAGATTATTAAAAACCCATTCATTCAACAATAACAAAAATAATCCTGTTAACAAATGAGCAGCAGATATGGACAATTCACTGAAGGGGATATCCAGAAAGTCAAAAGACATGAAGAATGATGCTCATTGTAACTACTACTAAGAGAGATGCAGATTAAAGCTACATTAAGATATCACCTAACATCCATGAGACTGGCATATCAAAAAGACCCTTCACAAGTGTTCAAGAGTTAGGAAGAAAAAGGAACCCTATTACACTGTTGGAGGGAATGTAAACTGGTAAAACCTTATATGAAGTAATCTGGATTTACTTTAAAAATAGAAATGCCATAAAACCTTGCAATCCCACTGTTGGGCATGTATCTATAATGCATGAAACCATCAACATAAATATGGAGACATGTTCAGCTTTATTCCAAATAACAGCGATACATTAAAACTGTAACTGTACTTAGGCCATTTTTTGGTAGCAACTTGAGATATAATTCATATACCATATAATTCACCCATTTGCAGTTTATAATTTAATGTATTTAGTATACTTACAGAGTTGTGCAATCATCACAACAATTTTACAATGTTTTCATTCTCCCACTCCCATTTAAAAAAAAAAAAACCCATGGGCCACGCTGAGCCGGCTTCGGGTGTTCCACGCGCCGGCTCCCCTCCTCTTCCTCTTTTGGCTCAGCAATGGCGGCCGTGAAGACCCTGAATCCCAAGGCCGAGGTGGCTCGCTCCCAGGCGGCATTGGCGGTCAACATCAGCGTGGCCCAGGGACTGCAGGACGTGCTGAGGACCAACTTGGGGCCTAAGGGCACCATGAAGATGCTTGTGTCTGGTGCTGGAGATATCAAGCTTACTAAAGATGGGAATGTGCTCCTTCATGAAATGCAAATTCAGCACCCAACAGCCTCCTTAACAGCCAAAGTGGCAACAGCCCAGGATGACATAACTGGTGATGGTACCACTTCCGATATCCTAATCATTGGAGAACTGCTGAAACAAGCGGATCTCTACATTTCTGAAGGTCTTCATCCCAGAATTATAACAGATGGATTTGAAGCTGCAAAGAAAAAAGCACTTCAGTTTTTGGAACAAGTCAAAGAAAGCAAAGACATGGACAGGGAAACACTTAGAGATGTGGCCAGAACATCTCTATGTACTAAAGTTCAAGCTGAGCTCGCTGATGTTTTAACAGAGGCAGTCGTGGACTCCATTTTGGCCATTAAAAAACAAGGTGAACCTATTGACCTCTTCATGGTTGAGATAATGGAAATGAAACATAAATCTGAAACTGATACAAGCTTAATTAGAGGTCTGGTTTTGGACCATGGGGCACGACATCCTGATATGAAAAAAAGAGAAGATGCATACATCCTCACTTGTAATATGTCATTAGAATATGAAAAAACAGAAGTGAATTCTGGCTTTTTTTTACAAGAGTGCAGAAGAGAGAGAGAAACCAGTAAAAGCTGAAAGAAAATTCATTGAAGATAGAGTTAAAAAAATAATAGAACTGAAAAAGAAAGTTTGCGGTGATTCAGATAAAGGATTTGTTGTTATTAATCAAAAGGGAATTGACCCCTTCTCCTTAGATGCTCTTGCTAAAGAAGGCATAGTGGCTCTGAGCAGAGCTAAAAGGAGAAATATGGAAAGGCTGACACTTGCTTGTGGTGGGATAGCTCTAAATTCTTTTGATGACCTAAGTCCTGAATGTTTGGGACATGCGGGACTTGTCTATGAGTATACATTGGGAGAAGAGAAGTTCATCTTTATCGAGAAATGCAATAATCCTCGTTCTGTGACATTGCTGGTCAAAGGACCAAATAAGCACACACTCACTCAGATCAAAGATGCCATAAAAGATGGCTTGAGAGCTGTTAAAAATGCTATTGATGACGGTTGTGTAGTACCAGGTGCTGGTGCAGTGGAAGTGGCAATGGCAGAAGCGCTGGTTAAATATAAGTCCAGTGTAAAGGGCAGAGCCCAACTTGGAGTTCAAGCATTTGCTGATGCATTGCTCATTATTCCCAAAGTTCTTGCTCAGAACTCTGGTTTTGACCTTCAGGAAACACTAGTTAAAGTTCAAGCAGAACATTCAGAATCAGGTCAACTGGTGGGTGTGGACTTGAACACAGGTGAGCCAATGGTAGCAGCAAAAATCGGCGTATGGGATAACTATTGTGTAAAAAAAAGCAGCTTCTTCACTCATGCACTGTGATTGCCACCAATATTCTCCTGGTTGATGAAATCATGCGAGCTGGAATGTCTTCTCTAAAGGGTTGAATTGAAACTTCCCATATATCACCTGAAACATGAAGACTCAACAGAGTGATCCTAAGATAATACAGCTATGGAATTTTTGTCTGAGCTTCAAATGATTTTCAAAGGAATTTTCTTTTCCCATATGAGAAAAAAAAAAAAAAGAGGAAAACGCTGGCGCCTACTCAAATTCTCAAGTTCTGAAATTATACGTATACTATTTTTTTAATTGCACTGAAGTATATACACATAAAGCAGCCCATTTCTACCCAATGACCAGGATGTTTTGTTTTCACTTCAGTGACATAAAAATACATGTCAGATAAGCATATGTTATCTTGTTATTAAATATTCCTTGAAAAACTAAAAAAAAACAACAAAAAACAAACAACAACAACAAAAAAACCCACTGTAATCTTTACCTTGACCCTAGGCAATAACTAAACTACTTTCTGTATCTATAGTTTTGCTTATTCTGGTCACTTCATATAACTGTAGTTATATAATAGGTAGTCTTTTGTGACCAGCTTCTTTCACTTAGCATAATGTTTTCAAGGTTCATATGTATTGTAGCATATATAGCATTTTACTCTTTATAGGAAATAATATTATTCCACTGCATTAGTATATTATGCTTTGTTTATCCATTCAGCAACTAATGGACATTTTGTTATATCTACTTTTTGATGAAATGATGCTACTATGAACATTCATGTACAATTTTTGTGTGGGAATATATTTTTTATTGCTCTTATGTATATTCGTAAGTGTGAAATTGCTGGGTCAAATAGTATCTCTATGTTTAAACTTTTTAGAAACTACTGCACTATTTTCCAAAGCGGCTGTACTTGGTAAAAGTTCCTACCATTAGAAGTATATGAGGAAAACTTCACTATCTGTCCTTTTTATTGGTGCTAACCTAGTGCATGTGAAGTAGTATCTCTTTGTTTTCATTTGTGTGAGACCATTTTTTACCTATCATATTGGCAAAGATGGAGCTAAATAGTAGAGTGGGAGAAAATAGGCACTGATCCACACTGCCTATGGGAGTGTGAATTGGTGCAATGTCTATGGAGGCCCATTTGACTTAGCTATCAAAATTTTAAATGAACATACCCTTTATCAGTTCCTCTTCCAGTAATGTACACTTGAGATATTCTTGCACATGAAAATGTGGGAAATGATTTATGTACAGGAATTTCACAATAACATTGCACCAATTTCCATTTTTATAAGATAGATTATGTAAATGGATACAAAGCTACATTTTCAAAGAATGAAACAATTTTATATGTAGTGACATAAAATTATCCCCAAGATATATTGATATGTGAGGGTTGGGTGCCAAGCAATGTTCTACTCTGCTGTCATTTTATAAAATAAGAAAAATAAGAGACCAGTAGATCAGTAGACAGCAGAAGAGTAAAGATGCCAGGGTCACCTTCTCCACATATTTCCAACCAAGTTATAGATAAATTAAGACAATGATCCTTGGAGGACAACCATTATATGGATAATGGCATGCACAGCAGGGGGGTTAGGAAAAATTTAAAGTTAATTATATTTGGAGCATTATCAGGGTAGTGCAACTAAGAAAGGGAGAGACTGCTATAATACCAAGACTGTATTGTTGACTCAAGGGTTTATGTTCACAATGGGGACTTTAGAACCTGAAGGTTGCACTGGAGAGGGAGGGCACACATATTTTGCAGGGCAGAAATACTACCTTTGTAAAACTATAGGAGTAGGGCAGTGGAGGCCCATGGTAGAATGCTGTAGTGGTAAACTAGCACCTACAAAGGCAGACTCTCTGCTGCCTGATGGTAACTAGCCAACCAGAAACAGAGAGTAAAACACCCCACACCTCAAAGAAGGGTTGCTTAAGGAGAGTGGACACTCTTAGTGATTATCCTCAGTATGGAGTTTATCTAAGGTGGTGATCCTCCACTTGAGTCAGTGGCTCCTGGTTGTGAATAGCTGGAGCTTGAGCTGTGGGGAAGGCTAGATTGGCTTCCCCTTTATATAAAAAAGGTGGGAATAAAACAAAACTACTGGCTTAGAACCCACTATCAGAAGTGAATGAAAATCTCCTCAAAACAAAAATCCAGGACCAGATGAATTTACAAGTAAATTTTATCAAACCTTTAAAGAAGAACTTATGCCCATTTTACTCAAACTATTCCAAAAAATTCAAGAGGGAATACTTCCTAACACATTCTGTGATGCCATTACCCTAATACTAAAACCAGACAAAGATGCCACAAAAGTAGACAACTACAGATCAGTATTTCTGATGAATATTGACACAATGATTCTCAGCAAGCTGAATTCCACAATGCATCACAAGGATCACACACCATGACCAAGTGGGAGTTAGTTCAGGGATGCAAGGATGGTTTAATGTGAACAAGTCAATTAATGTAATATATTGCATCATTATAAAAAGGATAAAAAACATATGATAATATCAATAATGCAGAGAAATATTTGACAAGCCAAGCCAAGAGATGGGGCAGAAATTGAGCTTTGATGCCATTGCCTGAGCTATTAAGTCAAGTTGTACTCAAAATTAAATCTATCTCTGAGCTTCTCAATTCCCTGATCCACTATATGCTTTTGTATTTTAATGAAGCATTTCAGTGTCTGAAAATTTATTTACGTGGAGTCATATTAGTGTTTCCTTTTGCAGTATACTTTATTTTTTAACTCAGAGCTATATTCTTGAGTTTATCACTGCTATACTTATGAATTGACTAGGACAAATTTGCACAAAAGCAAGCCTGTATAAAACCGATCACTGCATCACTGCTTATAACCATGAAAAAGTCTATACTACCCAATGTAGGAGAATGGAGGAATTGAGGCTTATTTGTAGAATGCCAATCTGCAGTTAAAAAAAAAAAAGCTTGTTTATTTTACATGGCCCAGATAGGTTATGTGAAATAACAAATGTCGCTCAGATGGGTGGGAAATATGAACCTGAACCCAGAACTCCTGGGTCTAATAAGCCTAGTATTCCTTTTAGTTAACATTACATTTTGAAAAATTCAAACCACAGAAAAATCGTGCCAACAATACATACAAAAAATGACCATATGCATTTTATTAGATTGTCTATAACATTTTATCATCTTTATTTTATTCATTCTCCCTTCAATTTTTTTTTCTAAGGCTTCTGAGAGGTGACAGGTTGCTTGCATGCAGTCTTGCCTTTTTAGCTGTAACATTTCTCTGTGTGTTCATATTAATAAAGACATGCTGTTAAATATTCACAGTACAGCAGTACGGGTTTCAATGCAAGAACTTTAACACTGAAAGAGTATTTAAAACATAATCTGTCATCCAGGTTAAAATTTTGTTGAATGGTGCAGACCTCTCCTGTCTTGCCAGCTGCTTGTTTTAGCTGTGTGTTTCAATAAATTCCCATTTTCTGTTCTCAGAAAATTTTTTTGTTGTTGTTGAATGTTCCAGTAATAATCTTGATAGCCAATCTCCCCTCATACCAGCCCTCGGCATAGGATGCAATACCAGATCATGTGTAGTATTAGGTGGTCAAACCAATTTTCAAATGACTTAAAATGGTTGAGTCTGAACATATTCACAGGTGTGCTTTTTGTAATTCCTCTATTACACACACCTGCTGACTGTATATACTCTTGGTATAACTGCTATATTCTAGGTGCTGAACACATTATTACTACCAGGAAGATTTCAGTCTCCCATGGAAAATGTAAATTTAAAGAACAGTTTGAACAGCAGCTCCCATACCTTGAAGAATTCACAATATGGCACAGTGCTGAAGGGTGCCGTTAGGGTGGGAGAGACAAGACTTATATTAAAAGCGCACTAACTAGGTGACCATGGCTAAATACCTCATTTCTCTGACTCAGTTTCCTCAGCTGTAAAGTGGTAACAGTAATAACACTTACCTCACACATTGCTGAGAAGTTAAATGATGTTTGAGAATAGCCCAGTATGCATTTGTAGAACTCACTAGTAGAAGATACATTTTCTTCAGTTTGTGCACTAAGATTTAGTTTCTGTCCAGTTTGTGTGTTAAAGGTTATGACACCTGGTAGCTCTGAAGTCTGTTCATAGCCAGAGCTGTGGGAGGTGACATGTAAGTCATTTCTCCCCCAGTTTATGACAAGGTTACCTAGTTTCTGTGCAAATGTAGACAAGGTGCTTTTTCTTTTATATGTTATACCACATATAAAAGATCGTGCAAAAGATTTTTGTTTATGTAGTTAGAGAAAGGAAATTTGCATCAGCTCGGTTGAGCATTTTCGTCAGCTATACCTATACGTTGTCTGACCCAGTCATGCAATTAAAGGGGTTTTCCTCTTCTCAGGCATACTTGTTGAGATTGAAAGATAACAGCCATAAGCACTTATAAAAATAAAAGCTTAGAATTTCATGTCTAATATAGTTTTTCAAATAGGATTCACAATGAGTTGATAATGGAATCTAGTCGTCCCTCACAGGCTTTTCAAGCTGATGGTATTTTCTTCAAGCTGAATTTATTGGTAGTTCTTCTGTCTGCAATTGCAAAGAAGTTGATTGGGAGAAGTTGTCAGGATGGTTTGAGGTTTATCCCCAATAGCAATTTACTGAAAACAACATCACATATATCTTTGTGCAGTGGTTCCTGTTCAATCATAGGTAAGTTAGTGTACCGGATAAAACAGGCAACAAGTACCATTATTGCTAGTCATTATTTTTTTTTAGAGATTTATTTATTTATTTTATACAAGAACCAGGGTACAGGCCAGATGCACGGGAGGGTGAGAGGATTCACCAGAGACAGAGCAGGGAACAGAACAGGCAGACTGATGAAATACAATGCTGAGGGGAGCAGTGTGTGCGACAGGAGAGGTCTGCTGCACCATGTGGGACCCTCACTGGTCGACCAGGATCCAGCCGGTGCTGCAGAGGCCTTGGACAGCCTCACAGCGCTGCGCACAACCGCCTGCGCCACCAGGGTTGGCCTGCTAGTCATTATTTTTAAAAGTAATGTTGATTCTGGGAGCAAAATACAACTTTTTTTCTTTTTTTAAATTCTGGGGGTTGTATTAGAATGCCCAACTGTATTTAATAAAGACACAACTCTAAGTAGCCTAAGCATAAAGAAGACTATAAATAAAAATTTCTTATGAACC